CGTGGTCAGCGACCTCGTTGTCATTACTGTCAGCAACTTGGTCATTATGAGGAACGCTGCTACACCAAGTATCCTCACATGCGACCTTCTTTTGCTGCTAATGTAGCTCAATCGGATACTGCTTCAAATGGTTCAGTCTCTCTCTCCTCTGAAGAATATGCAGCATTCCAGGCCCTTCTCAGGAAGTCCTCTCCTCAATCTCAGGCCTCTGCTTCAGAAACTGGTAATCCTGTTGCTTGTGTTTATCATTCTGCATCACTTGGTCCTTCGATATTTGACTCAGGTGCTACTGATCACCTCTGTGGTAATAAGGAACTCTTTTCTTCCATGAGATATTCTAATAATTTACCCTCTTTTACTCTTGCTGATGGAACTAAGGCCCCCGTTCATGAGATTGGACAAATCTTCATGAGATTGGACAAATCTGTCCAACCTCCTCATTGACCTTGACATCTGTCTATTACATTCCTCACATCCCTTATAATTTAATATCGGTTAGTAAATTGATCAATTCTCTTAATTGTATTGTCACATTCTCAAACCATTCTGTTTCTGTGCAGGACCCGGGTACGGGGAAGATGATTGGAGTGGGCCGTGAGTCACGGGGTCTGTTCTACCTTGATGTGTCGAGTCCTTCAGTTGCTTGTTCTCTCACAGAATCTCCACAGCTCATCCACAGTCGTCTCGGGCATCCTAGTCTTGCGAAATTGCAGAAGATGGTTCCTCTTTTATCCGGTCTTCAAACTTTAGATTGTCAGTCATGTCAGCAAGGAAAGCACATACGCCCCTCCTTTGCTAATCGAGTCAATAAATGAGCTGATGCTCCTTTTTCAATTATTCATTCAGATGTTTGGGGTCCTAGTCGTAGTGCGTCTATTTTAGGTTTTCGGTATTTTGTCACCTTTATTGATGATTTCTCCCGTTGTACTTGGATTTATTTAATGAAAAACCGTTCTGAGTTGTTTTCTATTTATCAAAAGTTTTCTGCTGAAATTCATACTCAATTTGGTGCTTCTATTCGTATTTTACGTAGTGATAATGCTAAGGAGTATGTTTCTGTTGACTTTTCTCACTTCTTAGCCACACAGGGTACTTTACACCAAACCACTTGTCCTCACACTCCACAACAAAATGGAGTAGCTGAACGTAAGAATAGACATCTCATTGAGATTGCCAGGACTCTTCTTATTCACATGCATGTTCCTCTTCACTACTGGGCTGATGCAGTCCTTGCTTCTTGCTTTCTCATCAACCGCATGCCTTCATCTGTGCTTAATAATGATATTCCTCATAACTTATTGTTTCCAGATGTTCCTCTCTTTCCTCTATCCCCACATGTTTTTGGTTGTACCTGTTTTGTTCATGATCTCACTCCTGGTAAGGATAAGTTAACATCCAAAGCCTTTAAATGCATTTTTCTTGGTTATTCTCGTCTTCAAAAGGGTTATCGCTGTTACTCTCCTGACCTCAAGCGTTACTTAGTTTCCGCGGATGTCACCTTTTTTGATCAACAACCCTTTAATTCTATCCCATCTCCATTGTCACAGGTTGATCATGTTCTTCCTGTTCCTTTTCTTGACTTGTCTTTGCCAGATGCAGGTGCTTCTACTCCAGATAAGCAATCACCTATTGCTCCAGTACCTAAGGACCGTCCACTTCTCACTTATCAGCGTCGTAAGACAGTACCTCCAGTCGACTCGACCCCTGCTGACTCATTGCCCTCTGCAGTTGATTCTTCCCCTCCGGATCCTTCACCAGAGGCTCTTCCCATTGCTCAAAGAAAAGGTACACGTACTACTCGTAACCCTTATCCTCTTTATACCTTCTTGAGCTATGATCGCCTTTCTCCTCCTCATTTCACCTTTGTTTCTAGTCTTTCTTCTGTTTCTATTCCTAAGACCACAGGTGAAGCACTTTCCCATCCAGGATGGCGCCAAGCGATGCTTGATGAGATGACCGCACTTCATACCAATGGCACTTGGGACCTTGTTTCTGCTCCTCCAGAGAAGTCTATAGTTGGTTGTCGCTGGGTGTTTACTGTGAAAGTTGGACCTGATGGCCATGTTGATCGTCTCAAGGCACGCCTAGTTGCCAAGGGTTTTACTCAAATCTTTGGCCTTGATTATAGCGATACATTCTCTCCAGTCGCTAAGATGGCGTCCGTCCGCCTATTTCTTGCCCTTGCTGCTGTTCGTCACTGGCCACTCCTTCAACTTGACATCAAAAATGCCTTTCTTCATGGTGATTTACAAGAAGAAGTTTACATGGAGCAACCACCTGGTTTTGTTGCTCAGGGGGAGTCTGGGAAGGTATGTCGTCTTCGAAAATCCTTATATGGTCTCAAGCAGTCTCCTCGAGCATGGTTCAGTCGCTTCAGTTCTGCTGTACAGGCGTTTGGCCTAATTCGCAGTAAAGTTGACCATTCTGTATTCTATAGGATTACATCTCCTAACAAGTGCATCTATTTGTTAGTCTATGTTGATGACATCATCCTCACCGGAAGTGATCAAGACGGAATCCATCAGTTAAAACAACATTTATTCAGTGCATTTCAAACAAAGGACCTTGGGAAGCTGCGTTACTTCTTGGGAATTGAGGTGGCGCAATCTAGACAGGGCATTTCTATCTGTCAAAGGAAGTATGCCTTGGATATCCTAGAGGAGACTGGTATGTTGGGGTGTAAACCAGTTGATACACCCATGGATCCTAATGTTAAGTTATTGCCCAGACAGGGGGAGCCGTTATCTGATCCTGGACGTTATCGAAGGCTGATTGGGAAGCTCAATTATCTTACTGTGACTAGGCCAGATATTTCTTTCGCTGTCAGTACGGCCAGTCAGTTCCTTGATTCCCCTTGTGATTCACATTGGGATGCTGCTGTGAGGATCCTCCGATACATCAAAGGAGCACCAGGAAAAGGTTTGTTGTATTCGGATCAGGGAAATACAGAAATTTGTGGTTACTCAGATGCCGATTGGGCAGGATCACCCTCGGACAGACGCTCTACTTCTGGTTATTGTGTCTTCTTCGGAGGAAACTTAATCTCATGGAAAAGCAAGAAACAACCTGTTGTTTCCCGATCTAGTGCAGAAGCTGAGTATCGTGCAATGGCAAATACTACCTGTGAGTTGATCTGGTTAAAGCAGTTGATTCAGGAGCTTCATCTTTGTGAACAGAAACAACCCATGACACTCATCTGTGATAATCAAGCTGCGCTACATATATCCTCTAATCCTGTTTTTCATGAGAGGACCAAACATATAGAGATTGATTGTCACTTCATTCGGGAAAAGATTCAGTCAGGAGAAATCAAGACAGCTTTTGTCAACTCGTCTAATCAACTAGCAGATGTTTTCACTAAAGCTCTTAGAGGTCCTCGGGTTGAATACACTTGTAACAAGCTTGGTGCTCATAATATATACGCACCAGCTTGAGGGGGAGTGTTAGAATATTTATGATATGATTAGATTTGATTAGATATGATTGGATTCTGTCTTATCCGTAAATAGTCTGACTGTATTCTGACTGTATTAGGATTAGGATTAGGTTTGGGCCTTACACTTAAGCCCATTAGGGTCTCTATATATTGTAACTCCCTGACACAGATCAATACACAACGTATTCTTTTACATTTAACTGTAGTATATAAAGTGTATATTGTAGAATCATCACTTAGGAACTAATTTAGGATTATTTATATCTAGGATTGAATCAAAGTAATCAATACTAGCACAATATAAAGATATTATTTGCAGACTATAGCTTGCGGGGGATGGTAAATACCCCTTGGTAGCTTCTTAGTGGGTGTTATGCTTGAACCTATAGCTTCAAGTGATCGGCAAATACACCTGGATCTGTTGTTCTATTCGGGTCAAAACTACACGGTCGGAGCTTCTCTTCTATATGTCCAATTCTCCTCTCCAACAATTCAGCTTGATCCATCTAGTCTACAAGAGAATCAAGTTTGTATGGCTTAAGCTCTGCTCAGAGCTCCCATTCATCCAAATTCCTCGAAGGATCTCATCATCAATGTACTTAAAGGTCCAACGATCCATTTGAACTCGCCTTGATAATCCACAATCGAACCAGTTTTTCATAGAAATTAGAGAAAACCTTGCATTCTCGTTCTCCCCTCCCGCCACTGATACCAATTCAGCACTCTTCCTCCATTGTTAACCGTACCGCCGACATCCACTCAGCCTACGACACCACATTCAACAAGAAATATACTCACCCTACTAATCCACCTATATACGTCTTCAATGGAGAAGATCAGAACCTCCAGCTTTTTCACAGAACCCTCCCCTGTTCTAAAAAACGACTTGAATTGTCCTTCAAATCCTCCAATTTTTATTGTTTCATCGTGATTTCCAACGATCCTCCTTGGCTGGTGTTCCTGTCAGTGTCGTTCAAATCAATCTTTGTACCACCCTCGCAAAGTAGGTGCATGATCTCTATGTTCGTCGCTTCATGTTTTGCAAGCTCGTGCTTCTTGTTCTTCTCTCCATTGATCATGGCATTCGTTAGAGAAATATACCATTGATGTAACCATCATCAACTGCTTAAACTTTTACGTTGAATTGATTTTTATAGGAAAAGTGTTTGTCATTTTAAATGACATAAAGTTGTCATTTAAAATGACAAACATCAAACCCTTTTTATATTATATCTAACAAAATCATTCCTCCAAAACTTGATTCCTGGCAAAATGTGCTGAAGCTAGGCATCACAATTTTTTCAAGCCATAGTACAAATCGTTGCTCGCAAAATGTGCTAAAGCTCAGTATCACAAATTCAGTTTAGATTCCTAAACTTGATTGTCGGGTACGGCAGCAGCATTGTATGTTTTTCACTCAAAAAGCAATACGTAATTAGAAAAAGTTGATAAGACATTGCTTACAATACGTGTATACACACATGCAAACTAGGGCACCTCGTGTCAACAATTGAAATTTGTAACAAAAAATTTAAAATAGAAAACAAATATGAAATTAGGATACCTTGTCCCAACCATACTCATTCCACACAAGAGACAAGTCATCAGCAATTTTGAAAGGGCCATTTTCATAAAACAAACCCAATTCACTGCCACACCCAGGTCCCCCAGTCAACCAAATCACAACAGGATCCTCCTCGCTGTTGCGTGATTCAAAGAAAAAGTAGAACATCCTGACGCACCAACCAAGCGTGAGAAACAAATAACAGGAATATACTAACCATCCAATTCTACAATACACTAAAAATTATAGCGTATGAAACAATAACTGTATTATTTCTTACACAATTTAAATGTAAACGGTTATGAAAACGACAAATATAATAATTCACCAACTGATATAATCATTACCGTCCAAAATTCGAAAACTTTATAGTATAATTTTTTGGGTAAAGTTCGGCAATGCTCTTGTAGTTTACTCAAGAATTACTTATGTCTCTGTAATTTTGTAGTTTACTCAATAATTACTTATGTCTCTGTAATTTTGTTTATCACATATGTCCCTGTGGTTTGCAAAAGGGTATGTTTTTTTTATCACATATGCTATGTGATTTTTTATTTTCTACAAAGTAGTGGGACATACGTGATAAGAAAAAACCCAGAGAGCTATAGATGATTATGAAGCAAACCAGTATTGTGAACTTTTCCCTAATTTTTTAGTGGAGCCATGCTATTAAGTATGGAAAAAATTATCACGAAGTTCACCATGAAAAGAAAAAATTGCACAGATATATGAAAAAAAAAATTAATTTAAAAAGTAAGTGAACACACGCCGTCGTTTATACAACTTTCACGAAAAGCTTTTTCTGAAAATCATCATTTTCCTTTAATAGTGTAAGCTGGAAGTAAAACAAGTAAAAAAAGAAGAAGAAAAAAAACTAGGGTTTATGTAAGTTAATGTGAAAAGCAGAAATTAAACAAGAAATGAAGTTCACAAGAACCAAACCTTGCGGCATGGGAATGCTGAATGGAGTAATACCCAGCGTGGTGACCCAAATCCTCAATCGAAACCTCAGAATCAGAACCTACTAGGTTGGGGAATCTGAGGCGCTTCTCAACGATTTTGCCGGGTTGGAGCGAAGAATTAGCAGCATGAACGATGTTGAGATCTTCATCGGGGAACAAATTGAGGTCTCTGACAAGGTTCTTGGCGTGGAGCACAAGGCGAAGATCGTCATCGGAGGCAGAAGCTGAAGGCGAAAAAAGGAGAAGGAGAAGAGTAAAGAGTACGATTGACGTGGAAACGAAGGAATGCCCCATTCTGGAGTGAAGAGACGGACACAGTGCTAGACCCACTCTGCTGCTAGTGTGCTGTATCTTACTATATTTGACTTTACAAAGAATATATGTATGTTCCATATGTGCAGATGTGTCCTGTAGTCCGAGAGTGTTAGATATAATATCTCAACACTTCTATAATGTGAAAATAAGAATTATCTATGAGAATGAAATTAGAAAAGAAAGAAAGTTTGAGAATAATTCACTATAAACTAAAAAGTATAATTACAATAAATTTTGGGTAAAGCATTTCTTTAATCAATGAAAATAAATTATCTTCTGTGAGTATAAAATGATGTTATTTTGTGGTGAAAATTATAGTATTTTTGTAATTATAATTTATTGTAGTGTTATATTAGTTTTTATCATTATAATTTTTTAATCTTATAACCTCGAAACGACGTCGTTTTGGGCTCACTGGAGATAATTTTATCTCCATTGACTAAAGAAATATTTTTCTCATAAATTTTATGGTAAAAATTGCAATCATCCAAAATTATCGAAAATTTAAAAAAAAATTAGTTAAAGAATGTTTTTGAAAGATTACGAGATAATCACACTTGTTAAGTACTAAGTCATGGCTAGTAGAATAAAATAAAAGAAGAAAGGATACATAAGGAATTAATGCGAAGATGGTTGATTTTGTCAACCAAAAGTTTTTTAAAAAAAAAATTATTTCAATCAGTTCATCAACTAGTCCGATTCGGACGGGTCCAAAATTAAGTTAAGTTATTTAATTGCATAAAGCATAAGTTAAGTAAGTTGATTAAGTCATAAACTTAGATATTTTTAGTTTTCTTCATGCTCCAATCGAAAGTCTCCATTTTTAATCACTTTGAGAGCTCAAAACCTACCTTTTGATTGAATTGATGAAAGATTTTGATGTTTGAGAGTATAATGCATAGAATTCCTTGGTGAGCAAAACCTATCAATCATATTCCATCAAAAATCTCTTGAGAGGAACTTATTTGCTTTAGAAGTTTGAAGCAATTTGGTGAACTTGTATAGTTTGAGAGTGTTTTACACCATAGAAGGTTGCAAGAAGTTGCTTTCATCATTCTAAGATGTCTTATGGTGAGTAAATGCAACTTATTACATGATTTCGTGGTGATTTCATAATATTTAGTTTTCTCATGAATAGTACCACGAAATTCATCATTCTATGATGAATTTTGATGTTGTTTCTTTGATATTCATGTTATAATAACCCTAACCGGTAAAATGATTAATCAGACATAATTAGGTGATCAAAATGGGGATTTGAATTAGAAATAAAAGTTGGAAATTTTTGGTGGTTTTTGGGGAAATATGGCAATAGTGTAAAACTAAGGATAAAATCGTAATTTTACAAGGTTATCGAAAAACTCGAAATTCATCTATTAAGAAACTAATAATGGACATTGGTGAATGTTAAATTTTTGATTTGATGATTAATTCATAGATTAGTGGAGGTTTAAGCAAAGACTAAACAATGTAATTTCCTAGGTAAGTGGGGTAACTTAGTAATTTCACATGGGGAACATTGACCATGAGTCAACACTCAAGTGAATTAGAACATATGTTTTGGACCTATTTATCAGCCTTATCTTCGACCTCCCACCTTGCAAAATCGTGGAGCACCATTGAAGACTAAGGAAGAAAGTTTGAGCTTTCATCTTCATTTCTAGCTAAAATTGCCAACATGAAACTTGCTTGTCTCCTCCTTGTGAATATTTTTCATGTCTTGAAGTCTTGTTGAAAGTTAGTGTGTAAGGAGATCATTTTCCAAGAGGGTTGGCAGTTTTGGAGGCTTCCATGGCTGTTTAAGGGTTGTTTGACTTAAATGGAGGCTTGAAACTCATTCCTTAAAGCATTTAGAAGATATTGGTGGTAAGTTTTCTTTATTTTACTTGAGTTTCATGGAAATTGAAATTTCAGTGACTTTATGAACATGTATGGACAATTGGGACTGTTGTTGTGCAATTTTTTATCAATTAAATCAATCACACAAATATGCAAGTGCACGTGTCACAAGTAATAAAGAGATGTGTGAGTCCAAGATCGTTCCCGCAGAGATAAGTTATAAAGTGTGATCTATTCAAGTAAATAAATTAGGAAAAATGATTGATTTTGATGATTGGATTTGTAAAATAAAAGACAATTAAAACTAAGAAAATAGTAAGCTAATTTTAAAGGTTTTAAGATGATGGATGAGATATAGGTCAGATTCAATTTCACCGATACAGTAATACTGAAATGATGCTATAACGATGATATATCAATGCTTAATTAGTAACCGAACACTAAGATATGCTGGGGCTTTTGGCCAACCTAACATATATACCCAATAATTAATTCCTACATCTCTATGGCCAAACTAATTACTGAATTGTTAAAGTTCAAGTTCAAAGGCTATGTGATGTGAAAGATCTCTCTACCCACAACTTAATCAAGTTATTCTTCTTAACCTAATTAATCCACACAATTCAACAAGGGTCTGGATTAGGAAACCTCTCGGCCTCAACCTCCTCAATATCATATATGTATCTCTCGACATGCATACATGAATAAGAATAAGCAAATTCATCGAAAAACTAATTAAACGTTCATAAAAACAAAGTTAAGCATCCATTACAGTGTTACAGCATAGGTACTTTATCACCCAACCTATAGAGCAATTTAGCTCATAATGAAATAAAAGAAAAAATTGAAGAAAAAGTAAGAATCCATGGAAAAACAGAAAAGAAGTTGTTGTAAAACTCTGTCACATCTTGCTCCAGCAACGCTCCAGCGGCTCTTCCTCCTCCAAGAATCTCACTTTCTCTCTCTAAAACGTGGTGTGGTGTTACCTTCAGTCGTTCCTACCTTGCCTCTTGCTTTTCTGCCCTCTCTACCTCTTGCTTTTCTGCCCTCTCTATCCCTTTTGAATCCGTAGAGGACTCTTATTTAAATATGAAAGGTGGTTGGTTAATTGGGTCAAAACTTTGGGAGTGAAAATTCATGAATTGTGCTGCTGCAGCATTATCTTATCCCTATTTTCTTGGGCTGTTGGCACTAGATTGGATAGGATCTTAATTTTCTTGTTCCAATATTATTGCTGATCAAATAAGAGTTTGTTGTCCTTGATCTTTGAGATTTTGAGATAAAAATTAATCTTCAAAAATGTCCCTTGTACTTGCTCGGTGGTGCTTTATCCATTTGTTGGAGAATAACTAACTTTTGAAATTTGAATTTCAATTGTTCCCATGTCATGTTGTACCAATTTCTATATCATTACTTCGTCAGCTTCTCTGCTACAACACTCAGGCATCAACTTTTCCTACAAAGACAAACACTCAACAAATCATCTATTCTTATACAAAATCAAGGAATATTGTCTCTTTTCCATACTTAGTCATCTCAACACATTTAATCATGAATATGCAATATTTAGCTCAATTATCATGCAAACAAGACAACTTATATGGAATTTATACAGCAAATTCATCATAAAAATACCAAATTAACTCTTAATTGAGAGAGTTAACAACTGTTCTAAAAGGATTGATGATTTGTGTGTTATAAAGTATGCTCACATTGATAAATGATTGGTAAAAATGAGTTGAAACCATGGTTTTGGTGTAATATAATTTGAGCCGAAATTTGGTGCAAAAAATGATGAAATCCTATGTGTTTTGGGTTGATGAATGGTGGATTGAAGTGTGGATGTTTAGATTAACTAATGGTGAGATTAAATAGGAACTTAAAACATTGGAATGCAAGAAAATTCCCTAGGCACTTGTTGGAGCATGCCTCGGCCTTGGAGAGATAAATGATGAGAAATTTGTTGTTAAATATGGAATTGTGTAATTATGGTATGTTGTGGTGGAGTTGTATGTTGTGGAAGCTATAAGGATGGTTAAATAAAATTAAAGACACCAAGGTAGGTATTTTGATGGTTTGGCTGAACCTATGCAAGAAAATAGGTGTGGGTTTTCATGTTGTTTGCATTTTGTGTTGTCAAGCTTTGTGTTGATCATTGAGGTGTATGATCATGTAGGTTGAAGCCCTTGGACTCTTTGATGGGAGATTGAGCCTTGGCATTCCAATTTGGAAGCCATTGGTCCTTGACTATCAAGGATTTAGGTAAGTCTTTGACTTGCATTTGAATGTGTGGTGTATGGTTTGGTAACTATTGGTATATTGATTTTTGAATTGAATTGAATTATTGATTGGTATTGTAACCTTTGTACATGTTATCTTGTGAAAAAGTGTTTTGGATTGGATTGCTTGTCGTGCAAGGGATGAAAGGTTTGCTTCTAGGTAAACTTCTAGTCTTGGGGCTAGTCCCCTTGTGTGTTCCACTATGCTCCATTGGGAGGAATGGTTGGAAATGTGATTGATGGTAATGTTTGAAATAGTATGATCGTGCATCATTGGATATGTTGTGTGCTATATTTATATATATGTTCTCTAGCCAGTAGAATTGCATGATTGTGGGGACTTCCACTGGATAGGTCTTCATGAGGGAGTTTCAATTGATCTAATACCTTAGAGATGTTATCCTTGATGGAGCACTCTAGGAAGTCTCGGGATTTACATGATGGGGTCCTGGAATAATAATCCTTGATGGATGTTCTTGGATGTGTCCGGTTGGATTGTGATTGATATATAATATATACTATGCTCTTATTATTGTTTATGTACATTGAATGAACCATTGGGTGGAGTGACCCTCTAAGACCCTTGATTTACGAGATTTTATCCCACCCAGTGTTTGGCAGACCATATTTCAAGCACCATTGAGCATTCTGGAGGAGATCAGGGCAAGAAGCCCGAGTACGGTTATGGACTTTTATTTTGGGTGCCTGATATATTTTGTATCCGGCATATTTTGGATTTTATGATGTATATGTAGTTGTTGTATTTTGATGTATGATGGACTTAACATATGAACCTTATGATGTTGTATTGCTTGAGGTATACCATGATTAAGGTTCGATTCATGTGTTAGTTTGCCTAAGTCCATCTTTGTTATTTTGGGACATTTGATGTATTTTGCCTAGGTTATGCCTAGTGTGTATTTA